TATTGTTCCACTGGTCAAAATGATACCAACAATCAAGCCCAGAGTCAGTGTGAAAAAGAATTACTCAAGTATGATCAAATTGGTGACCATTATTTCAATAACCAATTACAGTGTGTAAACAGTTTGATTGATTATATTTTCAAGTTTTATTTATAGGCTTAGAATTATCTTGCCTGTTAAATTTTTAAGTCTAACATTTGGCATTTGAAATGCAGAGAAGCAGACACATAAAATTTGTGCTGTGGTTTGAAATGTCTAAGGAAGTTTAATCAATCAAGCTTTAAGTGGTGTTAAATGTTTAAAGAGGATCTAATCTGTTACATCTGTGAGTTCAGAGCACACGAGTCAAAGAACTAGTAAAAGTGATTGTTCTTATTTTATTATTTATTAGATTAATAAATGAACGGAGAACTTTGTAAGTCAAATTTAAAGGCTAAAGAAAAAGTAGGATTTAAATTTTGCAACTCAACACCAGTTATTGTAAGAAAAATTTCCAAACAGAAATAAATCCTCTCGGGCTTTAGTAAATCTCAGGTGACACATTTATTCAATAGTTTACTCAAAGCATATTTACTGATCATTTGCTGAGATAGGTGCTATTCTAGATACTGAGAATATGGTGCAAAGTGACTCCCAGTCCTTCCTTCATTGAGATTATACACACAGAGTACACCCGGAAGAAGTCAAATAAATGGCATGATTTCAAATAATGAAAAGATGAACATCAATCAGACTATTTCCTAATCCCATCTTCCTCACTGCCTAGGATCAGTGACCATTTCCCTCTTTCCATAGCCAAAGATACCACATAGTTCTCCAATTCCTACCTGATTCTCACTCTTGGTATCACTCTATAGCTTCTTTCGTAGTCAATAAGTACAGTTTTGTTTTGTTTTAATTTTAGTCTCTACATCTTCTCAGGATGAGGCTCTGTTAGGGAAAAGAAAAAAGTCCAGAGAACATGCAATAAACAAAGCAGCCTGCTATTGATACACACTTGGCAAGTGTTCATGGAGCAGCTTACACATCCTGAGCTATGCATGTACTGAAGATTGAGAGATGCACAGAGCTGAGGAAGCCAGAACCATCACTATCAGAGAGGATCCATCTTGTAGGCAAGGCAAGATCTAATTTATCCAACTAGAAACCCATTTTAGAGGTTTTAATGGACTTACAATGGACTTACAATGATGATGCCTTCTACTGGATAAACTACAGTAACCATATCACAAAGCAGCACAGTAATAACCTATAAACAGTGCAGAGCCTACAGTGATCAGAACAGCGGTCCAAAGTCAGGCTGTGCATTAGAGTCACATGGTAAATTCTTAAAAATACTTAGACTGGGGTTGGGGTTGTGGTTCAGTGGTTGAGCACTTGACTTGCATGTGTGAGGCACTGAGTTCGATCCTCAGCACCACATTTAAAAATAAATAAATATATATATATATATATATATATATATATAAAATACTTAGATCATCTGAGTCAAGGGTGGGGATGGACAGTTGTATTTTGTAAATCACTCCAGGTGACTCCAGCATGCAGCCAGGCTCAAGAGCCCCAGTGGCAATGTCACACTAGAGTCCACCTTCCCCAGAGCCCCAGGAGGCTCTCCTGGGGGCATGCCTATCTGGATGCTTTAGGGCAGGGGTCAGCAACCTAGGGCCTCTGGTTATTCCCTCACCACCTAGCAAGCTAAGATGGTTTTTACACTTTTAAATAATTAGGGGAAGCAATGAAAAGGGGGATAAAATTTGGGGACAGGTGAAAATTGTATATAAATTCAAATTTAAGTGTCCAGATAAATTTATTAGAACATGGCCACTCTCCTGTGCTTATGGATGCTATAAGAGCAGAGTTAAGAAGTAATTGGGACATTTTAGTCTAGCAAAGCCTAGAATATTTGCTATCTGATCCCTTACAGAAAAAACTGTGCTGATCCTATCTTGGAGGGAATGGGGTTCCAGAGTTTCAGCATCCCTGTGTCCTCTCAGGAATTTACCTGCATGGGAAGTTATCAGCCATCAAGTTGGCAGATGTATATGAAGACTCCTTCCTTTCCCACCCTTGATTTCATACTCATCCTTCTCCCAGTTTCAGAAGAAAAGTAGGCCCCTCACCAGCCTGGGGTGTGGAAAGTACCCTAGACATGACACAAAGGAACAATTCCAAATAGTGTTATCCCACAGAACTCTAATCACTAGGTATGTAATTGGATAAATGGAATTTTTTTTTTGGCAAGTCAGGTGTGTTTCAAATATTGCCTTTCCAAAACAGCCTCAAATTGTCACTGCCAAATCATTGTGAGTATTTAGTGAGTGCTGTAGATATATATAGTTCAGAGGCACAGCACTCACCTAATATGCAGAAGGCCCTGGGTTCAATCCCAAGCACCACAAAACAAACAAAAAAATTGGTGACCAGTGGGTTCCTACTTTTTAGCATGCAACTCAGGAGGGGTTCAAATAATTGAGTAACATGGTTGTGACAAAACTAATGTCATATTATTGATGTAAGCAAGATTTTTAAGGTTCACATCTAAATTTATTTATTTATTTATTTTTGGTTGTAGATGAACACAATATCTTTATTTTATTTATTTATTTTTTATGTGGTGCTGAGGATTAAACCCAGTGCCATAAGTACTAGGCAAGCACTCTACCACTAAGCTACAATCCTAGGCCTTCTAAAATATTTAAATATAAATTTAAATGAATTTTGTCTCATTTGATGAATAAGCAATATTCGTCCAGACACACATGAAAAAATTAGGAAGAAAACAATCCATTCACTTCATTAAAAGATGAATTTCAGGGCTGGGGTTGTGCTCAGTGGTAGAAAGCTCACCTAGCCTATGTGAGGCACTGGGTTTGATTTTCAGCACCACATAGAAATGAAATAAATTAAATAAATAAAGGTCCATCTATAACTAAAAACAAATTCTTAAAAAGAGGCAAATTTTAAATAACAGTTTATTTTTATGTTTAATAATTACTTATCAAGTCAGGCACAGTGAAACATAGGTGCCTATAGTTCTATTTACTTGGAAGGCTGAGACAAGACTATCACTTGAGCCAGGAGTTTAGATCCAGCCTGAGCAACATAGAGAGATCTCCATCTCAAAAGAATAACAATGTATCAATGTGTATGTTGAATCTATATTATTTGGCTTAATTATGTACTAATAATTATAATTATGAAATGAGGGTCTTAACACCTCACTGGCTGCTGGCCAGAGACCCTCTTGATTCCTACCACTTGAGCCCCTCCTGGGTAGTTCACAGCCTGGCTTCCCTGGGAGAAAGAGGCTGAGCAATACAGAAGTGATGGTCTTTCTATAACCTTATTTTGTAAGTGATAGTTCATGTTTTCGCCTTATTCTATTATATTCTATTGTTCAAACCAAAGCCTTAGGTCCTGCCTACCCTCAAGGGGACTGGTATGTAAAAAGGGGTGAATAAGGGGAAGTGGGACCACAAATGTCAACTTTTACATAACACTTCTCTATATCTGTTTAAACTTAGGGTGATTTTTCTGTCGTCTTAAAAATGAATGAGAGGATGCAGTGCTCCAAAACTCTTTTAGAAATAAACAAGCGAAAATATTTGGAGGCCACTGAGAATCTGAGCCACTCATTCTGCTAGGTCCTGTTAGGCAGAGGGCAGCTAAGGGCCTACCAGAAGTGAGGAAAGGGTGAGGAGTGCTTTGGATAGGGAGAAAAGCCACCATCCCAGATCTGGAAGCTCCTATCCAAACAAATGGAAAATACAGAGAAAAATTAAGTGACCAGGCAGAAAGTAAGGATCCAGGCCAGGAGGGAGTGGCAGGAATCCAGCGAAGGAACCCCTGACTCATCTGAGATATCCTAGAGGGACGGAGAGAAGATCCAAAGGGCACACTTTGTATAGAGTGGATATTGAAAAAGGGACACTAATTCCAGATGGGCTGTGATTTAGGAAGGTTCGACTTATGGTTTATGATTTTTCGACTTTACGATGGTGCAAAAAATTATCTGCATTCACTAGAAACCGTACTTTGAATTTGGAATTTTGATCATTCCCAGGCTAGCCATAGGCAGTCGGAAACTGGGATATGCTGGGCAGCCAGCAGAGCACCTCTCAATCAATCACCCGCCCTCGAAGGCGAACAGCTACAATAATAGGCTAGGGGTATTAAATGCATTTTGCTTAGGATATTTTCAACTTACAGTGGATTTACTGGGATCAATTTCATCGTCGCTCAAGGAACATCTGCACATGTAATTTAGCTGCGGACAGTCCTTCAGCAGAGATGGAATAAACCTCTTAGGCAATACGCACAATTGGGCGCTATGGAAACACTGATTGGAGACAGGATGCCTACCTCAAGGAGCGCAATCTCCCAGAGTTCCCACCAGCAGGCTGGGAAATGACTGCTCTAAACTCCTTCCCCAGCCTGGAGCTGTCTCTCGCTCCCCTGAAAAAGGGCTTGGGGAAGGAAATCTGAGAGACTGCAGAACGAGTGAGAAAGTAATACTGAGAGGTGGAGGGGAGAATGAAAAGGAATAGGGGCTATTAAAACCAACTTCCCCCTGTCTCAAAAGATAAAAAGGGATGAGGATATGGCTCAGTGGATAAACGTCCCTGGGTTCAATCTCGAGTACAAAAAAAAAAAAGGAAAAATTAAAAGAAAATCGAGTTCCTTGAATCCGGAGTTGGGGGCTGGACGCCAAGGAACTAAGTAGAGAAAGAAGTGTGGATAAGGGCGAGAGCAGCAAGCAAGGACGAGGATTAAAATCTAATTCGACGGCTTGATGACAGAGACTGAGTTTGGGAGTAAATGAAGGCAGGAGAACAAGTGACCGCTCGCCCTGCAGAATTGAGGCTGCAGATGAGGCGGCGGAGGGGAGCCCGGGCAGAAGAGTTCGGAGGCCAAGCGACTGGGACTCTGTGGAAAGTTGGGCCAAAAGAGGGACCGCCCCCGCCCAAACCCCGCCCCTTCAGCGAGGCCCGCCCCTCCCCAGCGCGGGTTGAAAGCCGGAAGCTGGCTAAGGACCGCGTACTCTGCTTCACAGTAACTAAAAGATTCAGGGCGTTTCCGTGTGCGCCCCCAGACCTGGGCCGCGAGACCTCGCCACCGTGACGCGGCCATGGGGGCTCTGCCCCGCTGGCCGCCCGCGGTTCTGGGACTCCCGGTGGGGCTGCTTCTCCTGTGTGTGAGCGCTCTGGCCCCGGTTCGCGCCTCCTTGCGGCTGTTGGACCACCCGGCACCGGTCTGTTCGCAGCAGGTGAGACCCCGAAGCGCGCTAGAGACGCGGACACGGCGAGAATACTGCGGGGGCGAGGGCAAGCAGGGGCTGGCGGCCCGGAACTACCGCCAGGGGTAGGGAGACATGAAATCTGCGTTGGGGGGTCTCACTGGGATACAGGGCGTGGACAAAAAGATCGCGGTGCTCTCGGAGTGGTGGGAGTTGCGGTATATTCGCGGGGGAAGAGGGAGTTGGATGGAAAAAGGTTGCCCGGCGCGTGTTGCACAACCCAACCCGCCGTCGTGAGCTGGAGGAGGGAGCGAAGACTCCGCCCGGGCCAAAGTTTGGGGAAGGAGACCGAGGCGCGCGGCCGGGTCCGGGAGGCTGGCAGGACTGGTTGGAAACTGGCTGCGGTAAAGGGGATTTGTGAGGGCCAAAATGAGTCTGAACTGTACTCTATGCGGTGGACTTAACACATATCCTCCTTCTCTATCGGTGGCACAGCGTGACCCCGGGAGGCTGGAGGTGGCGCTTGAAAGCTTCCCCTTTAGCTGGTGCACTAAAGCCTCCTAGGAGCCGGGAGTAGAGGACGAGGACTGACCTCAACTCCGCTTCTCCGGGGACTTGCCAAGTCCCCGCTTCAAGGGGACTTGGCAAGTAGAGCATCCCTGGTGAGCAGGGATGGCTTACAGGACTACAGGAGCACCAGAAGAGAAACGCGGCATGACCATCTGCGGAGGAGCAGAGCCTTGAGTTTTTGTGTGTTTTGTTTTGTTTTGTTTTGTTTTGTTTTGTTTTGTTTTGTTTTGTTTTGTTTTGAGATGAGGCCTCGCTGTGTTGCCCAGGCTGGCTTTGAACTCCTGGACTCAAGCTATCCTCTTGCCTCAGCCTCCCACGTGACTGGAACTTCAGGGGCGCGCTATGCAGATGATTTGACACTGTTCTTCCCACTACTACCTCTGCCACCAACACTGAGATCTGGGAACAGGGTGGGCACGCTGTGGGATATAGACAGATATGTGATTGTCAAGGAGGATCCCCACACACACATCCGCAGGAATTGACATACCCACCTGTCAAGTAGTTGCCTTGCAATGCAACTTTGACCTTTAAGAAAAAAAGGAAACAGCAAAACAGATGCCCCCCCCCTTCCTCAAAATACACTTCCTTTTTCCCCTCCATGCTCTTTCCTCCCTGTTCTGGTTTCTCAGCTACTGACCCCCCCAACCATCCCCCACGTGCCCCTTACTGCACCACCGTTTGACCCCAGGGAATAATAGTCAGTGTCTGAGTCAGAGGATGTGAAACAAAGGGATATTTCTCTTTAATATTGTAGAAGATTTACCAAAAGAGGGTGGAGAATGCCTGTTTTACAGAAAAAAAAAATGTAACCAATGTTGGGAAATGTCCTTTTGATTTCTACTGTTGGCCAAAACAGTAGACTCAAAAGTTCATCGGGTCCTTGCTGCAGATTGTGTCCCAACATGGAGGATTTGGTGTTCCTTTGTAGATGGCCATTTGTCAGGTACCTGCCAAATACAAAGTACTATGCTAGGAACTGAACCTGTAAAGAAACACTCCTGGGCCTGACGCAGTGGCACACGCCTGTAATCCCAGCCGTGTGGAAGGCTGAGGCAGGAGTTTAAAGACAGCCTCAGCAATGGCAAGGCACTGAGCAACTCAGAGAGATGCTGTTCTAAATAAAATACAAAAATAGGGTTGGGGGTGTGGCTCAGTGGTGGAGTGCCCCTGAGTCCGATCCCCAGCGCCCACTCCCAAAAGAAAGAAACACTCCTGTGTCCAGGGCTTAAAATCATCTAGGAGGAATGTTACTGTCTTAGAAGGCAGCCTATAGCAAGCACATTTTGCACAATTGTAAGCATACCAAAGACCAGAGAAAGGAAAAATCACTTCCAGAAAGGCTAGTCCTTTTGAAAAGACATTTTGGCATCCCTGAGGGCTGGTGGGAACCTCCAAGAGGTTGGTTGGAGCATTCCAGGTGATAAAAGGGCCAGAGCCAAGGTCCTTAGGTAAAGAGTGTGGCTGGAGTGGAGGGTCTGTGGAGCAGGAAAGTGCGAAAGGAAGTTCAAACAGAGATAGGGATGTGATATGGGCTGGGCTAAAGGGGTTTTTTATTTAGTTATTTTATGTGGTGCTGAGGATTGAACTCAGGGCCTCACACATGCAAAGCAAGCGCTCTACTGCTGAGACACAACCCTAGCACCACCACCCCCCAGCCTTTTTAAAGATAAGCTCTCACTGAGTTGCTTAGGGCCTCACTAAATTGCTGAGACTAGCTTTGAACTCACAATCCTCCTGCCTCAGCCTCCTAAGCCCCTGGGATTACAGACATGCCCACCTGCCTGGCACTAAAAGGGTTTTAGTTGTTGTTTTGTTTTGCATTAGTGATCAAACCCAAGGCCTTGCCTGATTCCAGAGAAGACTGGAGAGAAATGCTCATGGCCAAATTTGTCCATTTTCTTCCTTCTTCTTCCCCTCTACCTGCTCCTGGCTCACAGACAACTCATCTCCCTAGACAGCTTCCCTGTCTGTTGACTAGTCATTTTAGAAGAAGCCTCAGGTGGTCACAGTGGCACACATCCAGCTGCTCTAGAGGCAGAGGCAGGAGGGTTGAGGCCAACCTGGGCAAAGTTCTGAAAAAGTCTTAGAATTTTAAAAAAAAAGGCCTGGGAGAGTAACTCAGCTGTAGAGTGCTGAAAGCCTTGGGTTTCATTCCGACTACTACACAAAAGGAAAAACAAAAAAACCACACCCTTAAAATTTCTGCCCCTCCCCTGAAGTTTTAGTGGATATAGCATGATATAGTGATGAGAGAGAAAGCCACAAACCTGAATTTACATCCCAACATCACTTATAGTTTCTGTAACCTTGGGCAATTTAGGCTGGATCTGGGTTCCCTCATTTCCACAATGTAGGGAGTGGGTGACCACCTCAAAGTGAGCCACATCATTTTCCAGAATATGAATGCCCAACAAAACCCTGGTTAGACTTAGTCCTAGATGATTCCATTCTAAAATGGGAAGGAGGCTTCTGCATGCCTTTTCTTCTCCTAGCTCAACTGCAAGCACAGGATGTGGGGACTTGACAAATATTCGTTGAGTGAAAGAACAAAAGAATGAGCCCAAGGAAGGAGTTATTAGCTTTGCTTGAAAAGCAGCCATAAACTGAGACCAGCCCTAGCACTGGTTCTGTCTGCCTGGTTTTAGCACCTCAAAACCCTGATGACTGATTTCCCCCACAGAAACCAGTCCTAGAGACACCATAAGTAATTGCATTTCTCTCTTTGGCTGGCCATCCCCCTGCCTGGGCTTTCTTGCAGGTTTCCCAAGACTGTCAGACTGAGGAAAGCCCATAAGCAAAGACAGTGACAACTTGGAGTTGGTCAGTATGAACATTAAACTCAGTTTCATAGACAGGATATACATTTCGTTAACAAGTTCTTTTTTCCTGAACACTTGTGGTTTTCACTTGTGGTGATAGAATGACTGTTTGGTTTAACCCTTTTATCCTCTGGTTACCAAAAGCCACTTTCAGTTCTACTGCTCTTCCAGACTAAAAAGTTGTGTTCTGTGGACATGCTTGCATAGTGTAGAGACACTGGAGCAGGCAGGGCTGGGGACACTGTATGTGGTAAAACCAGCAATTAGCAAGTCCTGATTACCATGCCTGACTTCTCACCCTGGCTGCTTGCTGCTCTTGCCAGACTAATCTCCCATCAGGAGACAGTGACATCAGTTAGCATCCAACAAACAGAAGCCTGCATCTTAGAGTAAAAAGACCTGGGCCGGATCCAATCAAGCTTCCCCTATCACCGGTGCCAGTCACCCCAGTGTTAGGAGCCAGTGTCCTCATAAAAGGAGTGATCCTTGCCTCATAGGTTATAGGAGAGCTTTCACATGCCACATCACTCACAGATGAAAGCACCAGGCTGGGCCCGCTGTGGCATTGCACCAATGTTCACCTGGAGCTTGGTGCCAGGAACTGTGTTGGCACACATGCTTTCTTCCAGTACTCATGACAACCTTTGAGATTGGCTAACCTGCTTTAGAGAAGCCAGTCACTCTTTTCCAGGCCAACCATCAAGTGCTTGTGGAGCTGAGCAGGACCCTGTGTACAACTTCAAAGCCCACTTTTCTATATCAGGCACCCAGTAATGTTCATTGAATGCCCAGAGTTAGTGCAATCTTTCATTTCTTCTTTTTAGTCTTCCCACTGTGGCTAGGTCTTCTCGTTTTTCTTTTTCCCTTTTTTTTTTTTTTTTTAAATATGCTATGGATTGAACTCAGGGCCTATAGAGCACACTAGGCAAGTGCTCTACCACTGAGCTATAACCCTAACCCCAAGATAAGTTTGAAGTAAAAAAATTTGGCCAGGCACAGTGGCACATGCCTGTAATCCCAACAACTCAGGAGGCTGAGGCAGGAGGATCTCGAGTCTTGGCAATTTAGCAAGGCCATGTCTCAAAATAAAAAATAAAATGGGCTGGGGATATAGCTCAGTGATTAAGTGCCCCTAGGTTCAAGCTCTGATACAAAAATAAAAATTAAGGGTAAGGAGTTTGTTAGAACAAGATCTTAGTATCCAAAAATAATCCTTAGTACTAATTTTATGTTATTAAAAATGTTATATTAATATAAATTCTGTGTTGAAATTCTAAGGGAAAATATTCACTATTTCTTTCCCTAAATTAATGTTTTTGTCTTTTTCCCCCCCTGGGTATTGAAACCAGGGCACTTTACCACTGAGCTGCATCCCCAACCCTTTTTGTTATCTTATTCTTTTTGTTTTATTTTGAGACAGGGTCTCACTAAGTTGCTCACACTGGCCTCTAACTTCAATCCTGTCTCATCCTCCCAAGTCACAGGTGTGTACTACTGGGCCCAGCTGTTTACCTCATTTTTCAATCTTTTTTCATTTTTATAAACATTTTTTAAAATTTATTTTTAGTTGTAGTTGGACACAATACCTTTATTCTGTTTATTTTTTTTTTTTATGTGATGCTGAGGATCGAACCCAGGGCCTCTCACATATGATAGGCAAGTGCTCTAATACCAGACATCCATCATGGTCAAATCTGCCAACTCCTGGATCCTGTGTCTTCCTGCTTGGGGTTATTCACACATCTCCTGGAGCATATGCTCCTGCAATTTTCTACGTTTATGAGGGTTAGATATAAATATATAATAAACTATGTACATATGTATGTGTATATATATATATATATATATATATATATATATATATATATTAGTATTTCCTGAAAATATCTTTATTCTACTCTCACCTCTTTTTGATAGTTTGCCTGGACATAAGCAGTTTAAGTTAAGAATTATTTTCCTTCAGCATATTGAAGACATAGCTTTATTGCCTTCAAGCAAACAGTACAGATGCTAACAAAGCCAATGCCATTGCGGTTCCTGCTCTAAGATATTTCACCTGTTTTTTTCTTTCTGGAAACTTTTAAAACTCCTTTTTATTATGGTATTGTAGTGTTTTGTGGTATTTGGGCCTTGGTGTGTATCTTTTTTCTTCATTTGCTATATAGGTCATTGAGTGGAGCTTTTTAATTTGGCAACATGAGTTCTTCAGCTCTAGAATGTCTTCTTCTTTCTTTTTTCTTAATGATTTCTTCCCATTTATTTATTTTTTAGTTGTTGACGGACCTTTATTTGATTAATGTATTTATATGCAGTGCTGAGAATCGAACATAGTGCCTCACACATACTAGGCAAGCACCCTACCACTGAGCCACAACCCCAGCCCCCCCACACACACTTTTATTCATTCACTTTTTCATAATCCAGCCAATTGTATCTTATGTTCCCTGAGTTAATTCTCTAATGTTCGTGTTTCTTCTAGTTTTGTTTGTATTTGTTCTAGTTTCAGAGAAATTTCCTTGATTTTTACAGCCCAACCCTTTGGTCTTTATTCTTTTTACTTTTTAGTTGTTGATGGATTTTTACTTCATTTATTTGTTTTCATTTGTGGTGCTGAGAATCAAACCCAGTGCCTCACACATGCTAGGCAAGCACTCAACCACTGAGCCACAATCCCAGCCCTGGTTTTTATTGTTGAAGTTCGTTTTTAGTCTCTGCTTACTTTCTCACAATATCCTGTCCTTGTCTTATGAATGAAATGTCACCTCTTCTCTCTTTGGAGCTATAATGGTTTTATTTGTTTTAATTTTATTCTGTTTGAAGCATTGTCTTATTTCCTCCAGGAGCATTATTTAAAATTTTGTTTTGATCTATTTTTATACAGGAAACCCATCTCAATTATTGGATACTCCTTGGCTGTCTGAGAATATTTTAAGGAGGATATTAGCTCAGTGGTAGAAGAAAGCTCCTGGATTCAAGTCCCAGTACTACCAAAAAAAAAAAAAAAAATCCATTATAATTTTCATATGGTTTGAAAAGAAGTTAGAATATGTACATAGTTCATGCACTGTGACCTTTAAAGGAAGTTTGTAGCTGCATTTTGCCTATATGCAAGTTTTTCTGTTTTGATTAAATCTTTTCCACCTCAAATTTCTTCTCTTTCTCTTTATCCCTTTTACCCTCAATAACCAGTGTGTTAACAGCTGATATCGATTTTTCCATGTTTTTCTATGTTCATATAATCATGCTCAACCGTATGTAAATATATTAGGAGGCTTTTTCATCATTTATTTCTATAGAAAATGGGATTAAAGTACAAAAAGTTCTTTGCGACATATTTTCCTCACTCAACAACAAAGCTATCTCTTTCGGTTATAGATATCTGTTTAACTAATTCTCCTTAATATTTGCACAATATTCCCTAGGAGATAGCAATCTATTCAAACAGTTCCATTTCAATGGATATTTAGATTTAAACTAGATCTTTCTTTATTCAGCCATTCTTCATTAATGAACATTCTGTACCACAGGAAAAAAAAGGAAAAGTTACCCTTTTTTAAAAAACTAGTGTAAGCTTAATTCTCAAACTTGATAAATCTTATACAGAAGAAGAAAGCTATGGGCCAGTTTCACTTATGAATATAGTTAGAGGCAATTCTAAATAATGTATTAGCAAATTTAATATAGCAGAATAACAAAGAATAATATACCATAATCTGGTATAATTTATTCTAGGAGTACAAAGCTTGATCCATCATAGCAAATCATCAGTATAATCCATTATATCAGTAATTTGAAGGAGAAAATGTATGAAGCTATGTTCATAAATGCTTGAGAGTATTTGGTAAGCTTCTGGGATGCTAGCTGAGGATGAAGCTCAGTTGGTAGCATGCTTGCCTCGCATGCACAAGGCCCTGGGTTCAATCCCCACACCAAAGGGGATTCAGGGATACTCTTAAGAAAAGCTACAGGCGTAATAGTAATAGAAGGGAAATACTGGGGCTGAGATTGTGGCTCAGTGGTAGGGTGCTCATCTAGCACATATGAGGCCTTGGGTTTGATCCTCAGCACCACATAAAAATAAATAAACAAAATTTAAAAATAGAAGGAAAATACGTATATATAGCAATAACTCTCGAAAAGCAAGACCAAACAGTAGCTCAGTATAGTGACATACCAAGCTATTTTCATCATTCTCAGCTGTTTTCAGACCTTCCCACTTCCTCTTGGTCATCATGGGCATCATTTGGCCATGGTTTTTAAGAAGCTGCCAGTGGATAAAATGGAATTAATTCCAAATGGAGTATCCATCTGCCTTTTCTAGAGGAGCTCCCCAAATAAAGATGAATGAACCAGTTTCTTATCCTCCAAGCCTCCATCCTAGGAGTTTCAAGTGGGAGGACAAAGGACAGGGTCCTGGGAGTTAATCTTACCATTCAGGAAAAAGCAGGCATTTGTCAGAGGGAGAGCAGAGGCAGCATGCTGGCCTCTGCTGAATTTGAGGAGCACCTCAGAGGCTGTGATGCAAGCCCAGGACCAGCAGCTGGGAATTGATACTAGAAGCTGCACAGAGTGCAAGGTCTAGACCCCAAGAGCATGTGCACTGGGGTCCTAAAGAAGAGCACAACAGAGTCAGTCGGGAATGTGTCCAGACTGATCCCTATGTCCACTTCATGTATGAGCCCCAGGGGCTCATCTGCTCCCTCCCAGGCCTCAGCCCTGCTCTCTGCTCCTTCTTAAGAGAAAGAGATGACAACCCAAATAACAAAGAATAATAAAGAGTAAGACACCCTAATCTGGTATGATTTATTCTAGGAGTACAAAGTTTGATCCATTATAGCAAATCTTGCACACAGACCAAACTACTCTGTTGGTTTTAAATGTGTGCTTTTGATCTGCTTCAGCACAGCATGAGTTTGGTCCATGTGAGCAGCTAGGAGAACTCACAGTACCTGAGCCTGAGTTCCAGGGTCTTCCCTTCTGCACTGCCAAAACTGAACATGTAGGAGTCACCCCTCAGAAGAATGGTTTTATTCACTGAGCTCTCTTTCAGGCCCTAAGTTGGATCCCAAGCCCTCAACATTTCTAGAAAGTGTATAGGGACTTGGGTGGATTTCCCATAACTGATCTGCTTCAGGACTCATGATTTGGCTCTCATCCCTCCCACCTCTTAATCTTTGGTTATCTAGACCAAAGGTTGGAAGCCTCAAGAGATTTGGGGACCTTTTCACTACGGTGCCCCAAGACAAACCTCTCAGTGTCTTTTTTTAAAAAAATATTTACTCTTAAGCCTTAGGTGGATACAATATCTTTATTTTACATTTATGTGGTGCTGAGGATTGAACCTGGTGCCTTGTGCATGCTAGGCTAGCGCTCTACCACTGAACCACAACCCCAGCCCCCTCAGTGTCTTTTAAAGTTGTAAAGTTCCCAGCTTCTAAAGTTACTTATACAATCTCCAATTCCATTTTGCCATCTATCATGCCCCTTCCCCTTGGCTGGTCAGGATGAAAGAAGGGTGGGAAAAGACCTCCCAGAGAGATCCCCAAATGTGGAAAAGGAGAGCTGCATACGTTTTATTCTCAAAAATGAGCTTGGGAAGGTGTCTGGAGTCCAGCGGTGCATGGGTTAAGTTCTTTCTCAGCTGTAATTACCACCTTCTTTCTTTCCACAGGAGCTAGACTGCAGAGTCAAGAACAGTAAGTCCTCTTTTTTTATTCTCCTTGTTGCTTTGTTAATACTGTGATTGGCTTGTGTTGATTTCTGGCAGCAGATCTGCAGCCCCTCTACAAGTTCAGGCTGTAGTAATCCCGAACGTGTCCCAGGTGTGGGCACGGTGCTTCCTTTGGAGAACATTTACATGCAGAAGTTGGGCAGTGTCATTTAGATTTTGAAAATATTCTCTCATGTGCTGCCCTAGTGTACCTTTAAGACAATTTGATCTGCCACGGCTCTTACTGTAAAGTGAGACATCTGTGGTGTTGGTTGTTTTGTTTTTTGGTGCTGGGCATGGAACCCAGGGCCTCACATAAGCTGGTCAAGCCCTCTACCATTGAGCCTCATCCCCAGCTGCTCGGCTTGTTTTCATTCAAGGGTGAGGCACATACTTCTTGTGTCTGTGCTGATTAGGGCCCCGACATGTAAAAATCAGCTCTTACCACTGCCCATGATCCTGCGCCCCATTTCCAACCCCTGTTTCTACTCAAAACCTATTTTCCCAAATTGCCCTTTAGACTCAGAGCTTTGTGGTTACCCCAGACCAGCCTTAGGAAAGAGTAGGACCCCAGGAGGGTCACAAGCTGGAAGGTCACAGGCCCCAAACCTTTCAGGAACTAGCTCTCTGGGCCTCCTGGGGATAGGAAGGGTGTCATCTCTGATTGTTGCTTCTCCCTGGCTACCAGGTACCTGCCTGGATGACAGCTGGATCCACCCCCGGAACCTGACTCCCTCCTCCCCAAAACACATTGAGATCCAGCTGCGCCTTGCCAGAACGCAGCACGGAGACCTGGTCCCTGTGGTGCACATTGAATGGACACTACAGACAGATGGTGAGTGGGCATGTCAGCCAGGCCCTGGGGTCCCACCATATCCAAGTGAATCCACATCTAGACATCACCTCGCATTCAGACTCAGAATTAGGCTCCTGTACTCAGACATGAAGGCTGCAATTCAGTGATGGAAGGATCCATCAAACGTTCTACCAATACCTTTTCACTGTCTTAGAGGCAAGCCCACAGCAAAATCCTGTCATCACACTATCCTTCATGGAAGACCTAAAATTTTTATTACCCTGGGCAAGTTGTTAATTTTATGAAAAATTCCAGATATTTACTGGAAAAATAGTAGCACATTTGCCAGCACTTTTTCCCTTAACTTAGGGGCCAACACTTATTAAAACATCCCCTAAACTTGTTCAGAGTTAGAGTCTGATTACAGATTTGGGAAGACTGGGGGCTAAATAGAGCCAGCCCTGGTGAACAGGTCTGGGGTTGGTTCCCTCTGAGTCCCCAGCCCACAGGCTCTGCTCCTTCTCTGCAAGAATGGCAGAGATGGCTGCTGTGAGACGCAAGTTTGCACAGCCTCTGCTGCTGGTCGGGTGTAAAGTGCCACTTGTCCTCACCTAGCTGGGTGGCAGCTGTCTGAAAGGCGGTAGGCTGAGGCAGAGAGTGAGCTGCAAGGAACAGGAAGTGGGGGGTTAGGCGAGATGGGCAGGTTTTCCTTTAGGAGTGAGCAAGCCTAGCAGATAGGGAAGTGGCACACCCAGTGGTTTATGCAGCTACATCTGTTTGTCTCCTCTCCTCCCTCTGACCTTTAGCCAGCATCCTGTTCCTTGAGGGTGCAGAGCTGTCTGTCCTGCAGCTGAACACCAATGAACGTCTGTGTGTTGAGCTGGAGTTTCTCTCCCAACTGAGCCATCACCGCAAGCGGGTAAGAAGACAGCTCCTGAGTGGATTGTGTTCTTCTGATGACACCAGTGTGACTTGTCCCCATATTGGACCCTAACTTAGAATAATAAGAAGGTGCTGGAGGGTCTGAGAAATTCAAGATGGCTGCTCCCAGAGAACATAGTGTCTGCTGTGATCCATAGATGGGGGAGGTGGCGGGGCACAGCCAAATATTCCCTCCCTTGCTTTTTCCTCACATTTTACCTACCTATTCATTCTCCTCCTCTGCACCCTGTCCCTCACCCCAATATGCTGGGAATTAAACTCAGGGCCTCCTGCAAAATGCTCTGCCACTGAACTACCCCAGGCCTTTTGCTATTGATTCTTAAGGAAATTGAATTGGAAGACCACTCCTGGGTCTGTAACTTGAATTGATCCAGGGCCTGCCTCCAAGAGGGAATAACTCCCCAGGCCAAAGACCTGCTATGGGTGGGGTGTGGGTGTGAGTCTTAACAGCTTGGTCTGATTTTGCTTTTCACAGCTGGAGGACAAAATGTTGGTCTTGTGTAGTTAGTTGAAAGCAGCGATTCCCAAAGCTGTTCCCTGGATCACCAGCAACCCTTGGGAACTTGTTAGAAATGCGTGTTCTCTGGCCCCATCCCAGACCTCCTGAACCAAAATCTCTGAGGGTGGGCCCAGCAGTTGGTGTTTAAGGACCTTCTGTATGACCTGATACAGGTGCTAGTTTGAAAAACCACTGGTTTAAATCTGCAGATGATTGCTTTAAAACAAATTAGATCTGCCAAAGACATAAGCACCGAAGGCAGAGCCCCCCTCAATGTTAAGTGAGGACCCCAAACTTGGCTGCTATGTGGAGGGCGAGGACCTGGTGCCTTGATCTACTTAGAAGCAAAGGACGCCCCAGCCCCCTCCACCAGGTCATTAGAATGGGGTTGGAGCCCTTGCAGTGACGCACTCCTGTAGTCCCTGCTACTCTGGAGGCGGAGGTGGAGCATCACCTAGCCCAGGAGTGTGGGGGCAGCCTGGGCAATGCAGCAAGGCCCTATCTCTCAAAATTTTTTTTAAAAAGGAGTTGGATTCTATATCTGTACTATCTGGAAGGTAGCTCAGTACAGACACATCTCACTGCAGACCCAGGGTGAGAGGGACCTCTAGCTCTCCCTCTGCTCTTATGTGCTTCAGAACATTCTCCACAGAGACCTCCCACTATGCCTTGTAAGAGGAAGAGTCAGTGAACAGTATGTAGCTGCCTCTTGTGTTCCGGGTCCAATGGCCTCAAGCCCTCCAGCTCAGGTCACTTACACCCACTGTTCAGGAATTCCAGAGAGCTGATGGGAGGGGAGGACTGCTCCCACTGTCCACCAGATGTTCTGCAGGGGCTTTTGTTTTGTTTTGTTCGGGTGCCAGGGGTGGAACCCAGGGCCTTGTGCATGCTGAGCTCTGAGCTCCTGCTCTACCACTGAGCCACACCCCAGCCTCTGCCCTCCTCCTCTGCATTTGACAATGCTCTCTACTGATGAGGCCAGCCTAGGTTTTTTAAAACAGGCAGGAAAGACCAGAGAAAAACAGAGGAAGATACTGTGCCTCCAGTTTCAGATTCTGCTGTGGTGGTTGTTTTATTCCTACTTCTAACTGGTTTGGGGGGAAGGTAGGGGTGGGATCCTATGGCCCAGATGGACGACAGGTGTGTGTGACCCCCCCAACCTCCCCTCCTCCCTTCTCTTCAGTGGCGTTTCACCTTCAGCCACTTTGTGGTAGAACCCAGCCAGGAGTACGAGGTGACTGTTCACCACCTGCCCAAGCCCATCCCTGACGGGGACCCAAACCACCTGTCCAAGAAGCTCCTTGTGCCAGGTAAGAGCCTCCTCCTAAGCCATTTCCTCCATCACTCAACTCTGGGATGAGAAGCTGGCAGCAGGGGCAGACAGCAGCCTCCCTGCTGCGCTTACTGCCAGCATGTGGTACCCACAGAAAGAATAGGCGCCCGGGTCTGGGAGCTCCTCAGCATGAGGCTCAGCCTCCACCCCCTGAAGGCAGCCCCTTCTTAATTGGCCAACACTGGACATGGGCCCAGGATCCCAGGAGTGTGATGGGAATAAGAGCCCTTCCCTCTATCCAGAGAACTAGCTCGAGCCCAGAAAACGTCAGGAGGATAAGACACGCTGGAAAGAGTGGTGGCTCCTGCTCTCAGACTAGTTCCAGTCACATTCTTCATTCCCGCCCCCCACACACACCCTGTCTGACCCACACCCATCTCCATTATCCCACTTTCTTCTCTCCCCTCACTGACCCATCCTGCCTGAGATCCTCCCAAGTCTATCTTCTAAAGCATCCTGGACACCTTCTATCTATGTCACCTTCTATACCTCTGTCCTCCCCTGAATCTCAGCCATTTCCTACATTTCTTGTTCAAAGCCAGGTACATCTAGAACCTCAGCCCACTG